TCTATTTTTTATATTGTACAATATTTCATTTTAATCTGATTTCATTTTAATCCATCACATTAATTGATGCGATTGTTTTAATATAATAAAAAAAAAGTCAGCATATAATAATTTATTTAATTTTTTAATAATTAAATTATAGATTCATAATAATAATCTGGATATTGTAAATACTCCAGTACAAGCAATCTTGCATACAAGAGCATTTTTTGATGATTTAAATGCCTTGGCAATTGTACTTTATCCTATTAAACTAGCTATATCCACTCTTGAATCATGAGATTGTTCATTAGCTGATTGCTTCGTTGGTCTAGTTCATTTGGGAGCAGCAATTAAAAGACTTCCTGAAAATGATTATCATAATTTTCACCAACAAGTAATTGTGATATTTAATAAAAGATTTGCTGAATTTGATGACAATGCATATATTTTATGCTTTTTTTTACATCCAGGATATACTGGTAAGCAATTGTTATTTGTATATAATTTAATTTAAATTATTTGTTGTATTTATTTTATTTGTTGTTAATTTAGATATAATATAGGCACGAGGAACTTTTAGATGTATTCTTCTTGCAGCAGATAACTTCTATGCAAAAATGAATAGAATGTTAAAGGAAAGAAAGCTGTTAATATCACAAATGAGAAGTTATTGATATTGTGCTACACCATTTGATATACTATTTGATGATAATGAATCTTCTATGACCTGGTGAATGTCTCTTGAAGACAATTTTTTAAAAAATGAAGATCATATCTGTCAATTAGCTAATAAATTGTTCTCCATAACACCGCATGCAGCTGGATGTGAAAGAATTTAGTCAACTTTAGGGTGGTATTATGGCAAATGTCGCACATGGCTCTCTTTAAGCAAAGTTGAAAATATGCAAAAGCTCTCTGCCTTTTATCTTGCAAACTCAAAAAAAGAACTACTATATTTTTCTGTTAATAAAGGTGTTGAAGACTTGTATGAAGCATTATCTAATGTAAACCTTAGCGATGATGATAATTATGAAGAAGAAGAACCTACTAGTGAAGAAGTACAAGATGTTGAGTTTTCAGAAGAAGAATCACTTAAAATTGAAGAGTTGTTAAATCTTGACGTGGCTAATTTTACAAATGATTTAGGTGAAGTAATTCTTGATACTGGGTTTGAGTCTTCTGAAAAGGAAGATGGTAATGTTCAGAATTATGATACTGAGAATGATGCTGACGAGGATAATTGGGACCCTGAAAAAGAGGTTGATGTGATGTTAGATTAATCCATATACAATAGGTATAACCCAATAACGTAGTTCAATAATATAAATTTTTTAATTCTTATTAAAATTTGTTAATTAAATAAAAATTATTGAACCTCTAAAAATTTAAAAAGTTAATAATAATGAAATTTATAAAATGAGAATTCTTGAAACGTCACACACACCTTTAACTAATCAACCGTGAAATTTTAATGAATCGGTCTGAACAAGTAATGCTTTACATAATGTTTCATGATTATTCTATTTTATTTTGTCATATGATAAAACCAATAAACTAGAATTAGCGTCATAATAAATAATAATTAGCATCAAGACAATAATATTTTTTATGATTTTTTATAAACTTTAATGATACTTTAATATCGATATGCCAAATAATTCAGCGATTATTTGATTTATTCAAGCATTTATTACACAAATGACATATTCAATAATGCCAAATCTTATATTACAGCATTAGTCGGTTTCCGGGCTTCAGATTAGTCTTAATAACGTCATAATAATAATAATAATTAAGAACGGTTTTTTAAAACTTGGACTAGTAGACCAGACCAAAAAATATTAATGAGCCAGCCTTACTAGAGACCGGAACAGATTGTGTTAGCAGCTTTCGAAAAAAACCTTGTATTGACAAATTACGTATCATATTTATTTATATCGGAAATATCGGAAATATCGAATTTTATCGGATGTATTTCGGAATTTAGATTTTTATTTCGGATCACTTTCTAAATCCGAAACATTTCGGAATCTAAAAAACAATTTCGCCCGAAACATTAACATCAATAAATAAAAATTTTCACATTCGGCATTTTGGTTTATTTGTAGTAAAGGAACCAGAAAAGTAGTGTCAGCTAGTTTTATTGTAGCAACATATGAAGTTGGCGAAGTCTGAAAAAGATGAAGCAGAAACTGGAATTTCTGACATGGGATTTGGTCTTTCTATTGATTCATCGTCTTTTTTTTTTCTTTTTTATTACAGTTTGCAAAAGCAATAATTTTTTAATGGTAACGATAAGTTAGTAATAATAAAAGTATTTGCACAACCATCAATCGAATTCAGTATTTCAATTATTGTAACGCTTGAACGTAAACACAATTGCAAGTTAATTACATTGAGGAAGTTACGTGAAAATACGTCAATTACATTATCATTTGTTCTATTGATCTTTAACAAGATCCAATTAAATTTTGCCATAACGGATGAGCATCATTACGATCACTAGCTAATTAATTGAGTATGCTACTTGAGAACACCCATAGGGTGTTCTCGCATCAACTACAGTAGATGCGATCCCATAATAATTGAAATACGTAGTGCACAAGTATTATGACGTAATTTTAGCTATTTTCATAGCATTATTACTGCGATTTTCTAATAATAGTAGTATGTGGATTCTAAATAGTTTTATCGAAAATTTTACAAAAAATGTGTCGATAATGAAAATCCATAATAAAAAGTATGAAAAACTTAAGCATTGCTTTATTCATTTTAATATATTTATAAAGTTTTGATTAGTCAGCGTAAAAAAAAGGTGGTTCGGGCAAAAGTTTTTTTTTACTGAAATGTTAAACTCATCGATCATTTTTATTATTTAAAATTTTTTTTTTTTACATAATAAACTACCTTACTTAATGACAAGATCGATTTGAGCGATAAAAAATATTTTCCGTTAATAATTTAACGAAAAATAAAAATTTTGAGAGGGTTAGGGTTAGGATTAGATGTTAGTTTTAGGGTAGAGTTTATAATGAACAAGTATAGGTGGGTTTTAGAGGGTTAAATAGAAACCTTCATTTCATTTTAATCCGATTTCATTATAAAACGAGTATAATCATAACAACTAATATTCTTCTCGACAATACATTTTTTTGAAGTTGATTACTTGTCGAATCCATTTGAAGTTCTTACAGTAAACTCGATATGAATGAAATTTTTTAGTCTCAAAAATTAAAATGACATTTTTTAACGTCCTGTCACGATATAAATTTAGCCACATAGTAGAATCTTAAGCATTTGATAAAATCACTGATATTTAAAAAAATATTTGCGTTGATTAATCATGTGCCAGAGAATTTATTAAAAATGGAACTCGAAAATTTTATTAGGTATAGACCCTATATTATCATGTTTCAAAATGCCCCATTTTTATTTCATAGTTCATAAATGAACGTCTTTTGAAACAAATTTAACGAACTCATCTGCAATATGATATGGTATTAAATAGATAATCGTGTAACTTCAATATGACATATTTACAGTAGTTGACGACATGTAGACAGATAGAGATGTTTAATTAAATAAAATTGAGTTTTTAATATAAATACATTCGACCCTCCATTAATGCATATTCACGCGATTTACCTCCATAATGCACGTTATTTTATCAGAATGATCCAAAAATTTATTGAAGTTCGGATTTAAACCTACACAATTGCACACCTCTATAATTGCACAGTGTGCATTAATAGAGGGTCGACAATTTAAAAAGATAGAGTTAGAGGTTAGTATTAGAGTAGAGTTTATAATAAACAAGTATAAATAGGTTTTAGAGGGTTAAATAGAAACTCTCATTTCATTTTAATCTGATTTTATTATAATCCACAACAATTAATAATGATAATTATTGCTATTAACTCACTATTTCTAGTAGCACTTTATGCCTAATAATAGAGAACACACAATCATACATAGTCTGCCAACAAGTATCCACCCATTGTTTAAGACTGCCTCCTTTAACTGAATTTTCTTAGCTAAAGTTTTAAGTGTATTTCCTATAATTATTTAAAATGCTTTAGCATTTTTATTTTTAGCCTGGAAACCTTAAAATGCTAGTAATATATTTTTAGATTACCTGCTAAATAGTTTCTTTTAAAATGACTGACTAAGGTTTTACAATGTTTAAGTATATGATCTGTGAATGATGTTTTGCTAATATCTCTTAAAATAAAATTAATAGCATGTAAAATATATCAAACATTTAAAATATTCAGATATTGCTCTATAATAATACGATATGTAGCTTTAATATTAGTACCCGAATCTGTTACAATTAGAGATAGTAAATGACTAGGTCATTTACTCAAAATTTAAATGACCAAGTCATTTGTGTAAATGACCTGGTTATCTGGGTCATTAGGTCATTTAGGTCATTTATATGTAAAGTAATTTTATTGGTCAGATAGCTAATATAAAAAGTTACCAAAGTCAAAATTTTACTAGATTAATCAATATTTATATGGGGTGAAGTCAATAGAAATGGGACAAATTTATCTAATAAATTTGTCCTATTTCTATTAACTTCATCCTATATCTTTAGTAAAGTTGTTCAAGAGAACAACTTAAATTAGTAAATTTAACTTTTATATGTAGCTATGATTATTGATAATATTTTATAAAAAATTACTTTACTAGTATGTCTAATAATCAAAGTTGATTGGTTAAAAAGTGTTAGATTATCAGTTAACAAATGTTAAATAACCTTCTATAATCATTTGAATGTGAAATGACCCAATAACTGGTCACTAGTCATTTGAGTCATTTGGGTTATTTCAAGTTATTTACCATCTCTGGTTACAATGGCTGAGAATTTTTTAGGCCTAATTTTTTCTAGAATATTAATAATTTCTTTTGCTAAAAGTTCTTGTGTATGTCTTTTATTTGACAGATTTTGAAAACTCCACAAATATTGGTTCTGACCTGGCATATATATTATAAAATTCCAGATTGATTCATTAGAAGGATTACTCCAGCTATCACAAGCTAATTAATAAAAACAATATTGATATAAATTAGTAATGCAACTAAAGCTCATAAGTAATCTTACCAAATATTAAATAGTTTTTATTTGATATAACTAAAATAAATAAATTTATATTACTGATAGTTAGATTTTCTAAATCATTTAATTGTTTAATTATTGTTTAATTAACAAATGCCATTTCTTATGTCAAATAGTGACCAGAAAGAACATCTTTAGATGGCAGTTCATAAGCTAGATGTAAAGTTTTTAATAACTTGACAAAAAATAGATTTTCAATAATATGAAAAAGGATTTCACAGACAACAAATACCTTTAATAATGCTTTACTAATATCTTTAATATACTCTGGTGTTAATTTGGTGCTTTCAATAAAATCAAAAAATTGCAACTGATTTAATTAAATACTAAGCGTTTATTTTTTTAATGTTGACACATTAAATACTTTTGCTATTAATTATTCTAAAAATAGGTTATGAACATCTAGTAGAGCTTTCTTACACAAATTAGCTAAATGATCTTTAAGGGTAGCTAGGGAGTCTTTGTACCAAAAATTATTACAATAGTTGCATATTGCACTCCAATAACCTTTTGAAATTTGGTTTCCTTGCTTAATATGTATTTCCCACACAATTGACTTTGGTTTACTGCTAGATTTTCATGTAGAAGTATCAATTTGATTAATAGAGGAAGTATCAAGTTTTTCTGCCATATTGTAAATTTGAATTTCAAAAGGCACATTTAACTAAATTTTCAGCTATCACTATTTAAAAATATTTAACCAGTTTATGATATATTTAATTACTTTGTGATAAATTTCTTAATAAAAAAATTATCTTGAGGGCAATATATAAAATACATATATATAGTTAACGGGTTTTGATCCTTTTTTTTTTTTTTTTAAAAAAAAAAAAAACTTTGTGCCATCTACATAAAAGTCTTTTTAATTGAGCCTGAAATATTTTTAGTAGCTCATTAGCAGGCTTATACTTTTTGTTTGTTTTTTTTCTTTAAAAAAAAAAAAAAATTAAAAATTAAAGATATAAAAAGCAACATATGTACACACATACTAATTTTTCTTTACATAAAAATGCTCAAAGTTCTCTTCTTAAAATTGAACTTGAAATCTTGGAGTTGTGGGATTAAATGATTCTAATTAGATTGAGCATCTTGTAAATTAGATGATAAATTCCTAATCCTTTATATAATAGAAATTTTTAACCAAAGTTAGCAGGTAAATAATAATTAATTTAGAATTTTAGAATTTAAATAAAAAAAAAAAAAAAAGAACCTTGAAACCTTTATTATTCATATATTTAGCCCAGGATCTTTAAGCTAACAGTATATGCTAAAATATATCCAGTTCCAAAATATTGATTAACCTTTTACCAGTTTAATGGCTAAGGTTTGTTTAAACTTGTTATTTTTTGTTCTTTTTACTTATGCATCCATTTATATTAGTCAAGCAATTTCTCATGATTATTTTGCAAATATATTTCAGATCCAAAATATTACTAGTTTAGTGGTTAAGGTTTGTTTAAACTTGTTATTTCTTGTTCTTTTTGCTCCTGCATCTCTATTTATATTAGTCACGCAATTTCTCATGTTTATTTGCATTTATATGTATAAGTAGAAAATTTCCAAATTCGATTACTAACTACAGGGTATTTGTCGATTATACCAATTTGGAGTAGTAGCTCAGGTTTTCTGTAGAAAGAGATAAGTGATTGTAGATCAAAATTCAAAAATTTGTTATGATTTTATTGTGACGCTATTAAATATGATTGTCATCTGTCATCGGGCTTTCAATTATATTTTGTACCGGACATAATCACTAATAAATCAAATGTATTGAGTCCAGTACAAAATGTAATTGAAAGCCTGACAACAGATTTTTCTTTGACAGCATCATATTTAATAGTATTACAGTATTTTTATATTAGATAATATCAGACTTATCAGATTTTATGGATTTTATCAGACATTTTTGAAAATATCAGACATTTCAGAAATTTGTGTAATGGGCTTCAGGTGAGACTGTCCCCAATATAGAAATAATGATCTGAGTCACCTGATTGTTACACAACTGATAAACAATTTTTTTTTATATGTTTTACAATACTATATCCTGACCTATGAAATTCGATTAAAAATTTAATATGCATATATAATAATTAGCGATAAGAATAATAATTATGCGATAGAATTTGTAAATTATATGTGTGATATATACAAAATATTCGATTTACTAATAATTATTAAAAAAAAAAACTTAAATACTTAATAATTATGCGATAAGAATAATAATTATATGATAAGAATTTGTAAATTATATGTGGGTATATGCAAAATATTCGATTTACTGATGATTATTAAAAAAAAAAACTTAGATACTTAATAATTATATAATAAGAATAATAATTATGGATAAAAATTTGTAAATTATACGATTTACTAATGATTATTAAAAAAAAACTTAAATACTGCGCACACCAAAAAACTTTCGATTTTTTCAAATACTGCGCACACCCAAAAAAACTTACAATTTTTAAATACTATGCTCAATTAAAAAAATCACAACTTTTTTTTTCTTAAAGACGAATATATTTTTTTGATGTTAAAATATT